TATATATATATATATATATATATATGTCTCAAAACAAGTATTTCTGGTGAATATAATCTGTGAACAGCCATGTGGCGGTTGGTTAAGGTTTTATTGCCGCAAAGCAACAAGGTTATCCGTGCCAAACAACTAGTATGAGGTGATGAAATATTAACAAGAACAACACCTTGGGAAGTGTGACAAACAAAGAAATACAAACTAAAGAGTCTGTGGATACACTAGGTTGTTTCAAAGGCAAATCAGGTTTCTTGTCATGCTAGTGCCAAGTGAGGCGTGCGTGCGTATGTATGCCACAAGGCTTCTTAATAAATGGATATTTAGAATATAATCGGTTATGTATCACACAATAACATTCTATTGCACTGACACTGTTAGGCTTTTTCAACCTACAAAACAACTACAGGGTATTTTACTACACTAGATACTATTTTTATTATATACATTATTTTACAATAAAAGGCCCGAATATGTACAGTATATCAAAGTTAGTTCTGAAGAGTAGCCAAGTACATACACACTGCATCTCTTTTTTCTTGGCCTGCGATTTCTTCCTCACCATCATAATGTTCGTTAGTACAGAGCTGGAAAGTTTCATCATTTTCTTCCAAATCTTCACCTTCAACCAAACAAAAATTATGTAGAATGCAAGCAGCATGCACAGCAACACTCAAAAATTCCATTTTACTGACACCCATGAACTTCAGTCTTCTGAACTTCCCCTTAAGATAGCCAAAAGCATGTTGTATTGCTTTTCTGGTACTGAATAAAGCTTTGTTGTAGAGTAGTTGATTTATATCCAAATGACCATTATCAAAATATGGAGTAAGCAAGGTACTACTCAATGGAAAGGCACTATCAGCAATTAAGTGGTAGTTATGGGGAAGAATTTCTTCTGGACTGTTCAATATCTGTTGATACAATGGGGTGCCCAGATAAACACGGGATTCGTGAATAAGCCCAGGAAAACCCACAAATATGCAAGTGAACTTAAATTCATGATTACAAGTAGCCAATAGATTGATAGAGTATTTGTGCTTTTTATTTATTCTGGAATCCCGGTCATTTTTTGGAGTTTTTATAGGTATGCGACAAACACCAATAGCTCCAACCACACCAGGAAATTTTGCTATTTGTTCAAAACCACTGACAACATTATAAAGTTCATCACCCTGTGGCCAGGAAATGTTTGCACCAAATTTCTGAACCAACAGCTGGCAAACTTCTTCACAAGATTCCCATGCTGTAGACTTGGAAACTCCAAACCGAGATGCAACACCTTGATACGACTCGGGGTTTCCAAGAACCCACAGTGTTATCAGGACTTTATCGTATAATGGAATAGATGGTTGTCCACGTCTGTTTTCTTTAGGAAGTTGGATACCTTGCAAGAGTTTCTAGAACATAGACATTTATACTTAATTAGTAACACACCTTAAATAATTTGTTTTTCAAGAAACATGGTTCTAATGTTTATTTAGAACAGTGACTATTTCAAACTGAGACTTCAGACTTTCAGTTCACTTCTGTGAACACTTAATCATTACATAAATATAATTTACCTATTAACATAGTTTGCTCTGATTGGAAGTTAATGTACTTAAGAGTGAAATTAAAATGCAATCTTGCACTCAGTACAGCTAATTATACTTTTCTTACATTCCTACTTATAAAAGTTAGAATGCATTGTTTCATAAGCTGAGTAGCCTCATTATTAAGACCTTTACACCATAATCCTAATATCTCGTTAGTCTGACCAACAGTGTTAATGCAAATAACAATAAATAAATAATACAGTATAACTTACTTAGGGGAACACAAACACTAGCTGTTGACTTTAAATGCTGCAAAATTATTTTTTTTCGATAAATATGACATCAGTATAATATGACTAAATTTTCCCTAAAATTTTTTGACCAATGAAAACTCATTAAGCTACTCTGCAATTAACCTGACAGGGAAGTGGCATTTGTAACAAATTTACAATGATGCATTAAAGTTTAAATTGTGTCGACTTAGTAGCAGTAACTTACCTATAACACAGACAATTATAGTTATTACTAATTATCTATAATAATAATATATTAAATTAACAGAAAGTAAAACTAATGGTGGTCAACTCTCAAGTGGTTCATTATTACCCTAAACCAGCAGTTCCCAACCTTTTCTTGTGTTGAATTTATTGAAAGTTATAATATATCAATACTGAAAATGTATTTCCAATACGTACTTACCTCCCCTCACAACATTAGCTATTCTCGTTCAGTGCTGCTCTTTATATGCAAACTTTTTCTTTACACATGCCACAAGCCTTCTGCTCCCCCTATTGGAATTGCAAGATTCCAACATGCCTCTCATTTTTGTGTCACCTTCTCACCAATAAGAGTATGACATGCTCATGTGACTTCCTCTACCGCAATGTCACCACCAGAGAAATAGGGAAAGGAAGGGTGTTAAGTATAAATCGGAAATACATTTTCAGTATAGAAAAATTAACTTCCGAGATGGTACCTACCTCCTCTCACAAGATTACCTAGACCAGTGCAAGGGAACAACAGAAGTACCCCCCAAAAGCATCCAACGGATACTCCTGGAAAGGAGAGATTAAGATCAGAAGATGGGAAACCACACCACTTCTGAGCCAGGTATACTTTTTGTCCAACTGTGGAATGTGCGAGATATAAGGGTGGAAAATGCGAGGAGCACATCCAAGTGGGAGATAATGTGGCAGGAAGGTGATACTAACCATAGAAATATACTGTAACTCAATCCCACAATGAGAAAGGTGGGTAAACAAAGGATGTGCCCTTAAATGTACAGTGACTAGGGTGCAGCAGATTGTCAACTACATCTTAAATCTGTCTGTGGGGTACCTACATCTGCATGAGGGTAGGATGAGGATCATACCATCTTCACCTCAAACCCAAGAACTGGGAGATTGAGAACTGTTCCAATTCCCAGATACGACACGAGTATTAGATCTGAACTATCGATCTTGGAACTTGACATCTGGTATTGAATGGATGTCTATTGCATGCAATCAACTCCCCCAACTGTGAAACAGGATAGGACCATCCAAATGGTAACAACATCCCCGAAAGAAGTGAAGAGAATGGATAGCCAAGGACAGAACCAGAACAATCCCATGTACCACTACTGTTATTCACAATACAAACATAGGAAATTGAGGGAGGAAGAGAGACAACCAGAAACCTGTGTGAAGACTTGTACTGATCGGTTCACTCTAAATCCAAAACCTGCCCAGGGGTACCAACATCCACGTGAGGGTAGGATGAGGGCTCCCAATTGAATGGGTGACTTGCCTTGTGACGTCTCACTCCATTGTCATTAGTTATTGCAAATAGGAGTATATCACGTCACCTACACCCATAGAACACCACCACCCTACTCTGTAACAGAATGGTTATTGTGTGGAACTCATTCAGCAAGGTGCCTCCATGGTCAACCACCCCAGCAGCTTGGAACTGGAAAGTGGTAAGGTCTCCCATGCTCCACTCGAAGAAAAGAGGGTGACAATGCAGTGGAGAGTACAGATGAACATCATCAACTGAGACAGTGCAATAGGTGACCACAAAACCTTATTTTGAAAAGCAGATCATACCAAGTTATTCACTCTAAGCATGGTAGGGATGGGCAGCCATCCCCTTCTGCTATGCAGTCCATGGGTGATATGGTCTAGGAGGGGTATGTTTATGAAGCAAAATATCACAAAGTCATGCACCTATAAGTGATCTTGTGGAACACCCCCATCTTAATGGTGAGCATGCAAAGCTATGCGAAAGTCAACATAGCTGGACAGTGCAGATTTCGAGTTAAAGAATACCTGGTCAGGCACAACTCACCACAAAGCAGGATCTCTAGGCTAAAGAAATAAAGAAAGGACCTTGAAAAGAAAAAGTATAAAAAAAAAAAAAAAACTTACTGGAGAGAGTCCCATCAAAGTCTGAAGAATGGCTACAGGTGGTAGATGAAACCCCAACAAAGAGGAAACCGTGATATCATGGAGATGAACATACTGGGTTTGGTCCACATGCCAGACTGCAGAATCTCTTCCAAGGGACGACTAAGACAAGAGGCAAGGGAAAAAGTGAGTTGTTGGAGCTGATGGGAAGACACCTGGAACAAATTCCGGGAGGAATAGTTCAATTGAATCAAAAGACAGATCCAATTGGTAAGGGTAGAATGTGAAATATCACGAAGGAAGGACGACTGCCAGGGGATAAAGAGTCGGGAACATGTACCCCAAAATGAAGCAGTACAGGCAATGTAACAAAAAGAGCCCTGACTGAAGATGGGAAATGGAAGGAATGGAAATAAGAGAAAAAAAGGAAACACTCTCCTGAGCTCCCGAGGTTTTCAGGAGAAAGGAATGATTTGAATAAAGGAGAAGATAGGTAGGGTAATAAAGGGTATATGAAACATCAATGGCAAACAAATCAGACCATCGATGTTCACAGGCTAAGAGAAGAGGGTTTGTTTGTTTTTTGAATTTTGCGCAAAGCTACACAAGGGATATCTGCACTAGCAGTGTAAGACTAGAGGGAAGGCAGCTAGTCATCACCACCCACTCTTATGCTACTCTTTTACCAACGAACAGTGGGACTGACTGTCACATTATAATGCCCCCCATGGCTGAAGTGGCGAGCATGTTTAGTGGGACAGGGATTCAAACCCGCGACCCGCATATTGCGAGTTGAGCTCCCTAACCACTTGACCATGAGAAGAAAAAATGTTTTAAGGGAAAGGTGTTACATGGAACACGAGGAAAGTGGTTCAAACAGAGGTAAATTAAAGGAATGGAGGACCACTCTTACATCCCAATCCAGAATGGTAGGTCACCTGAGAAGGCAATGTATCTGGAAAAAACGCATGAGCATGGTAAGGACAGAAGTAAAAACTTTATGGTATCAGGAAAAACGAAAGGTATGGGATGAGGCTGCCAGATATCCCAAAAGTGAGGAGACTGAAGACCCATGGTCAAAGATCCAGGTGAGAAATTCCACTACATGAGCCACAGCAGGCATGTCAGCAGGAAACCCCCCTACTTGTAGACCAATGACAGAATACCTTTCACTTGCATTGGTACATCTCCATGGAAGATGGAGGGATGGAACCAGCTAACAAGGAAGTGACCTGACATATGAAACCAGATCCTCTCATCAAGGACCAGACAAAAGCCAGGTGTGAAAACACGGGACATGAATGAAGGGATGTAGGACATATGACAGAGGTTGACAGAGAAGGTAGGGATAAAGTGGAAGAGGGCCAGGAGGAGAAAGGAGCAGTCACTGTAACTGTGGAAAATAAGGCTGAGCTGGTCAATAAGGAGAAATCGGAAGAACCCGACAACAAGTGGATAAGAGAAATCACCTGATGAAATAATCATATGGGTGGGAAAGAATAAAAATACTTCTGTGACCAATCTGAGCTAAAGGCATCAACTGCAAAACCTTGGGGATGAGGTACAAGCAAACAAAAGAGAGGTAACTTGTTGTTGAGGCACTGTCCAGGTAAGTGACAAGGAGAAGTATCCCAAGTAGAAGGGACAGGCAAGGGCTGGGAAGGATGGGAAACGGTAAATGGAGGCATATATTGTAGCCTGTTTGTCAAGGGTGGATTTTTATTGGACCAATGTCAACTGAGGCTCTAGTTTCCAGGACTGTATTAAAAACGTAATGCCTCGGAAATGGGGCCATACATAAATCCCTAACATATGTCGAGGGTAAATGGACCAGAGCCTATACAACATCACAACCTATAAGGTCCCAACAACAAAAACCATGTATATAATGCCAGAGCCGAGGACAACATGCGGGCTAAAGTGGAGGAAAAAAAGGCAAGTTATCTACAGAAATCCCCTCAGGATTTCTGTGGAGAGCCTCAGATAGGAGGTGTATGAAAGAAAGATACTGTAACAAATTTGTAAAGCCCAAATATTGGGTATGGGTAAGACTGATAACCAGGCAATAAGGAACCTAACAATTGCTGGTCTACAAATAGTCAGCACAATGGTAGGGAAGTGTGAACTGATATTAAGTCTGTGGGGGGGGGGGGCATCATGCTAATCCCCTCGCTTAGTTGCGAGGCAAAGTGGTCAGCATGAATCCCAATATCAGGTGAGGGGTTGGGAAGATTGTTAATGCAATAAAGAAGGATGAAGTGCATAAGAAATAGGGAAAAGGGGGAATGTCACAAACCTAAGACACAATCCATAAAGACCATATTAGGTCTAGTAGATTCATCAGGTTGGGAAGGAATGGCAAAATCTGGAGAAGCCTGGGCAATGTGGGAAAAAGGTTGTCCCATGTAACTTTCGATCTCCTGGTGCATAAAAGCAGAAAAATCCACTATCGGGTCACCCACCCCTGAGGCCTGAGAAAAAAATGCTGGTTGCTGGTGTTACCCCCAATGTGGTAATGTTAACTTAAGCATTCATTGCAAAGAAAGGTTCACCAAATTCGAGTGCAGAAAATAAGGCGACTAGAATTAACTGATAAATACAAGTAGAAGAAACGGGCTGAATGAAAGTAAATTATTTTAAAAAACAACCACTTTGTGAAGCATTAAACAAACAAAAGAGCACATCTGAATAAAAGTGCTGCCAAATGAGTAGTGTAGAGGGAGTCACGTGCGTCACATGAGCATGTCATGCTCCTATTGGTGAGGAGGTGATGCATGATGAGGTAAGTACCGTATCAGAAATAAGACTTTTCTGTAACACTTAGTGTGTAACTCATTTACAATAAAATCTGAATCTCTGGTATTGTCATCAGTCAGTACCCAATAAAATTGAAATATACTTCTTCAAACATAATATAAAAAAAAAAAAAATTCTGAACTTGTTCTAGATAAAGTTTGGCTCAACAGAAGAAAGAGATAGTCTTAAATCTGACTCTGCATCAAACTATTTCCTTCCATAAATATTT